TATTATTATACTTTATTTATATTTTATTTATAACTTTATTTTTTTACTTGATGAGAAGAATGATGTAATATCAAATATATAATCTAAGTCAGGACAGTTAAATTATATTTAGTAAATTAAGCAACCTATAAAGTATAATTTTAGATTATAGTATAGTACGATTGGCATGTAATTTCTAAAACCAAATTCATTTATTTATAACTTATTTTTTACTTGATGAGAAATTGTTAAAAAAAGTTCATGCAATGCAGGGATAATCTCCATTGTTTTGGTTTTTCGAATAATTATAACTACGTAATTCATTCTTTTAGAAGAAAAGGTAACAAACTATGCAACATCTTTCTGAAAAAATTTATCAATATTCCATTTTTTCATCACGAGCTTCATAAACAATAAATTCCCCCCGATTTGGGATCGTCTCCTTAAAATTTTTTTTTGTTTGCAAATTAAAATAAAACAAACAAAATACAAATAATCGAATTCGAATTCTTTTCTCAATGCCATTTTTTTTAAATACGAAATTTTAGTTATAAAAGAGCAAGCGTTTTCCTTTCCCAAAAATTCAAAAATTTAACAACCAAGGTTCATTTCTTAAGAATAACGTTACTAAACAAATCTATAATTTAATACTTTAAAATCTTTATATTTTTTTCATTTAAAAAATGAATCAAAAAATTACATTTGCTACTATCTTGATTGCGTTTTCCGTATTCTTTATCTGCTTTACAAATGCTTCTCCAATTGAATTGTCACCTCGTAAATCTCCGCTCGTAGTCTGTGAATACTCTCAAAGCCAATACAGAGTTTATGGTAATATTTGGGTTACTCCAAATAACGAAAACTGTAAAGTACACGTAAATTTTGCTGGCGGAAGGTCCAGTTGCCATTATGTACTTTATATTGATGGCTGTGAAAGTGAACCAATTTCATTTAAGCCAGACGGGTGTGCAGAATATACTTACAGGCTCGAAGGTAGAAGTCCAGCAGAATTAGAAGGGAAAACTTGTACTCTCTATGAAAACGGTACACCTTGTGCCACGGGTTGTTTTGAAAGTAAATAAGATCGATGTAATTCTTTATTTGTTATTCACGTAATGAGAGGGAATGTATAATGTGAATTATCCAATTGTATTTTATTTTATAATAGTAATAAATAATTTTTAATTTCTTCTTATCTTCTACCCCCGCTCGGATTATCCCAATTAAATTAATATCATTAATATTTTAATTTTTGTAATGATTAAATAGTGATTTAACGATTTATTACATAAATAAAGTCCAGGAAATTTTTCTTTTACATAAAAATTACATACTATTAATCGAAATTTGAATCATTTTTTTTTTATAAACGAATTTTCAACTCATGTCTCATGACCTTTTGACATTGTGTAAATGGATATCTTTGATCACATATTTTCCAATAAAATCTACTATGACCTTCTCTAAGATTCCTGGTCAATTTTATGTTAGAAATCTTAAATAACATCCTTGCCATTTACAACTATAATCCCATTTTCTCAATTAATTCATTTATCCTTTTCTTCTTTTGAACATGAATCCCATCAACATAAAATTTCTTGCAACCTGCCAGTTGCCACATGACGCAATACCATTTGATCATGAATATCGAGATCACCAATTGAAAGGGGTATTAAGATCTAAATACAACAGCATACATAACCCAAAGACATCGCGCTTTATCTAATATTTCACCATTATTTCTTTTAGATTCTGATACTGAAACCATTATCATATCTGCTTGCTGCTGCTGCTGATGATGATGATATTGATAATGATGGTAGCATAGATGATTCTTCTATTCGGTGAAGGATTTCCAATCGTATTCTCATGACTAAATTTTTAAAAAGAATATGATTTAAAATGTGATTGAGATATGATTGAGTGCAATTACTATATTGCTAAAATTTTCATATTGTTCACGTTCATCCGAAATTTTTTTGAATATTACGGTTTATAAAATTTCCTGATGTTGTCCGTATTGTCCATAATTTCATAGTTAGTAGAATTATGAAATAGGTTTTGTTGATTTAATTCATTTCTTTATTATTAATATTTATTAATTCGTCATCAGCACAAACTTCAATAAGAACACTAATATCAATTTCAGTTCCATCAGTTGGAGTAAAAGAATATCGAACTTTGGAAACGAGAACTTCTAACTGCTATACTTGAAATTACATCCACCCCTTGTTCTTCATTTTTACGTGAAGTTAGAATTGATTTTGTCTGGATCTAAAATATCCTCGTTGTTGTTCAATAAGTTGTTATCGACACCACCCTTCAAAAAAATTTCTTAAACTATCAGCACTAAATATCCATGGATTATCATGATTCATTCCAATTTTAATAGTTTCAAGCGATTTTGGAACATTCTCGGCTATTTGACATAATAATTCATCATTAAATTCTCCTCTCCCACAATCAAATGACAATCTTCTTAGTTCATTAAAATTATTATTAAATATTGCTTTACTTGTTCAGGACTTAAAGCAAAGTTAATTTTGTAATATTTGTACAATAGGTTCAAATTGCTGAAAGCATAAAAAATGTAATTGTGGAATGTAATTCCGGACAAATAGAACAAATATTTCTTAAATTTATATCGGCCGTTCGAGAATTTTTATAATAAATTCTTGAGAATACCTTTTAGTTGTATAAATCAATTAGAATGATAAAAATTACTTAATTGAGTAAATGATGAAGCTAAGAATAAACAATCTGATTTATGTAATCCAGAACAGTCTTCAATATAAAGTTCTTGATGATTTTCCTTCGAAATGATATAATTTTACTGATTTTAAACCTTTAGTGTTTCATTTTGATGGATGATAAAATAATAAATCATGTTTAGACAATAATAAGTTTTGTTAATAATTTCATTTGAGGAACTGAAAAAATATTATCACAAATTAATACTAATGATTTATATAATCGACTAATCTGTTCAGAATCTCTTTCTAATTTCTTAAACACTTTTGGGACACCAGGTAACTTGAGAATTGAACCAATTAAATCACTATGATTGCGAAAATTTTTAGAATATTATTAATTCACGATTTCGTTATTATTATCTTAACCAATAATTTGTTGAAACAAAATAAACTAAATTATCCATTCTAAATATATGAGCGAATGATCCATTTTGAGTAAGTAAAGTTCTAGCTTGAGTATCCATTCATGATATACAAGTTCGAATACATAATGCTTTCCTCTTCAACTTTCATTATTCGTGCAACGTTTTTTGACCCAACGTTAATTCCCAAAGTATAGGTATAATAACTTTACACAACAACTTCGATCACCTATTAATGATGATATAAATCTTGAGTTGAACGAGATGCCGATTGGAGATTAAAATCATAATTAATATTTTTGTGGAAATTTTAGTTGCCACTTTTTTGTCTAAGAAATAGGAACTTTAAGTAAAAAAAAATAAAGAACAAATTCAAAAAAAAAATAATCGTTCCACATTTATATGATTCAGCCCTGATGTAATGATGTAATGATTACCAAAATAATATGCAAACTCAAAAATAAATTAAAAAAAAATAACTTTTCAGTTATATAATAAATGAGCGGGAGATAAAAATGCAGCAGTAGCCTTAAAAATCACAGCGAAAAATCAGAACCGAGTAATATTGAGTCAAAAAATCTAAAATTAAAATTACTATCTTGTTAATACATACTAATGAATTTCTTTACATTTGTCAAATTATTATAACTTCATCGATACCTTTAAAAAGCCTATCATTCAATCTCAAGATATTTATAATTTAATATTATTAATATTCATTAAAATAAATTATCTGATTTCATAAGATCATAACATCTTTTAATTGTTATTCAACGGTCTTGTAGAAGGCCAAAATTCATAATAAATTAGATTTAGTTAAATTCAAATGTCACTAACTAAAATTCATCTTCTCAATGAAAAATAAACAAATGAATTATTTTCTTGTCATTTTATCAATTCGATTAATCATCGGCGAAAATGATAATTATCCAAAAATCCTTAGAATAATTTTGTCACAAAGGAGATAAGAGAATTATTAAAGTTTCATAGATATTCCTATATTGAAATTTTAACAAGGTACTTATATTAAGATTTTGTTTTCAAAACACAAATTCTCGAAGAAGTTTTAATTTCGATGTAATTCCAAAGTATATTTCATACATATCAATTTTTAACCGAATTTCAAGTAATTTAACTTTTACATTTTATGTTCTCTCTCTCACACAGAATATAAAATAAATCAATAGCTTATCGTTATACAGTATAATGTTATAATATCATAATATGTAATCTAAAAAAGATTATTCGACGAATATTTCTTCGGGTAATTGTTCTGCATATGTACGTTTATACTTTTACCGTGCTTTCTTTTTTTTAAACCAGTATGGCTTTTACAATATCTTTATCAGTTCCACATCCTTGATAATAGTATGTATTGGCTTCATTTCTATAACATTTTTAAACAATTCAAATGTTTTCTCTTGACCGTGTAAAATTACGTTGTTCCTTGGATCTTTTTAGCAGCTTCAAAACAATATAAATGCATCATTTTGTCTTTAACCCACACCTATGCGGTTGTCATATCAATATCCGGTATTATTCGTTACATCCAAAAAGAGCATTCTTTTTCGCTTATCTTGAGACATGATTAATTTTAATGAATTACTATCTGTAAGCACCAAAGGTCAGCTTTGTGAATAAATTAAAAATGTGTTAATAAAGCTAACAAAACCATATTAGTTATTTTGAATTATATTTACTTGCTGTGAAGTTTGTTTGCCTTCTTGCCTAGTGCAAAATTTCTTAATTTTAATCCTTCTAACCATTTAGAAAAATCGTCCAATAATTTAAATTGACTTTAACATATGAATTGAAAAGTTTAAATCTTTCTACGGGTTCGAGATTTTTTTCTTCAATTAAATTTAATAGAAAATTTTGGAAGTGATAAATTCGTATCCTTCTTTAACTACATAATAATGTTTTAATATAAATAACATAGAAATAGATAATATAAAAATATAAATAATATAAATAATATAAATATAAATAATATACAAATATAAATAATATAAATAATATAAATACTCAGCTAAAACTTTTTTAATTCTCCAAAATTCCATAACATTGCTTTTTGAGCAATACTATTATTAACATCTAATGCTTCAATTCATCGCATCCTAATTCCTTAATTTGTTTCCAATCTTTATCTTCAAAATATCCAAAGTATTCTACAAAATTATATGTGTTTCATCCAAATAGCATTTATATTCGCGGAGTTATTAGAGTTTAAAGAAAAGCAAAAAATTTTTGAAGACCCAAATTACATTGATTCAGTCTAGATTTGACATCTAATATCATTATATTTATTATAGTATATTATGTTATCTATTATATTATATTATTATTTTTTTTTACAATGGAGACTTGTTCCAATAAATTTTATTAATAAAATGATCGTAAAATTTACAAGTCAGACTTAAGATCCTTTTTCCCATTTAATTATATATTCCGAAATTTTACCTTCTTCTAGTTGCCAGGCATCTCGTTTGAGAATAGATACTAATGCATCTTTAGGGAGCTCAGGGAGCGAGCGAAAATTTTCAGAACAAAAATAGTGTTAGGATACTTGAAAATAATAATATTACAGAAGTCCTGAATAATTTCAAGGATTTGATTTCGATAAATTTGAGAAAATTTTAGCTTTAACCTAGAAGCACAATTATTATAAGATGAGTTTGGGGATGTTCAACCAATTTATCCAATTTAAGTTCATTAAAAGTAATAAGAGGTCAAAAATGACAGAATTTTCCAATTTTTCTAATGAAAATTTTCCAATATAAATATATCTAGATAATGTATAAATCAATATAAAATTATAGAATTACTATTATTATTTTGTAAAAGTAACATTTAAACTTAAACAAAAATATTTAATACTTTGATATCAAATTAATTTTTAAAGTACGGACTACGGAATTGCGAAATACTGTAATTAAATGAACTTTATAAATATTGACATCTTTTTCACCAACTTCAATTGAGACATTATAATTAGAACCAATTTCAAGAAGTCTAGTAATAAACGGTCGTAAAATTGAGTTTTGATTGGATAAATTTTTATAAGTACAAAGTTTATAAACCTTATCATGGTAACATAAAAAATGATAGTACAGAAAGCTACATTATCTAATCTATGCTTTTAAAATAAATTTTCAGAGTAATCGACAGTTTTTACAAAAAAATAAAATAAAATAAAAAATTCATGTAATTAAAACAGTGAATTTCTGTACACCAGTTAATTTTTATTTTTAAGGACTGAACGGATATTTTTCGAAGAGTCTAATTTATATTTTTACAAATAAGTAATATATAAATAAAAATTATATATATATATCATATATATATATATTTAACATTATCAACATTAGAAATGCTATAATAATAGGACACGACACAAATTGAAGTCATTACAATTACTTTGTTACTTTCGGGAACTTCAAATACTGAAGTTTTTTTCTGTTCCAGTCTAAAGGAAAAAATTATGCACATTTGAATAAATTAATATGAATTTATATGAAGATACTTTTAAACCAATCAATAAAATTCGAAATGAATATTTGAAAATTGTCAAACAAAAGTGAAAGCTTAAATAAGAATACCAAAACTGTGCTTAATATTTAACGCATCTAATGTTGGTTGAGTAAGTTTTAAGAATCTCTTCAGTCTCAATCACAATTTTTTTAAATTCTGTTCATCACAACATCGGTATTTATATCATAAATTGTTGCCATTCCAAAAGAATTTTCGAATTTTGGGAGGTTTTTTCGTAATAATTGAAATTATACTTTAGCTCCCATTTGTCGCCACCTTTCTTCTTTATAAAGTTAGAAATAGTCTTTTCAACAACAACTTTACTTTCAAATTTATATCCAGAACATAAACTTTAAAATGGCCTTGGTCTATTTACTATTGTAAAAAAAAAAAATTTAAATTTTCAGGATTTTTTCATCGCACAAAAAATGAAGATTCAATTTCGTCGTCGTTTAATATTTTCGCATTTTTAAACTTTTTTTTTAGTTTCTCATTTTATTTAAGCTTTTTTTTTTGTTTATTAGAATTATTATCATTATTATCATTAGAATTACTAAATATTTTCATTTTTATTTTTTTAAAACTTCAGCAAATAATATTAAAAATATCAATCAATTAATAATACATATAAAATTTTGCGCTATTTTATATCCCGTGATCTTTGCCGAGAATTTTGTCTTTTCAAATTTATTATAAGCAAATTGGTGTAAGAATATGTATGCTATAATAAAAATCCATTTCTTGAGAGAAAAAGCATGAATTTTTTTGTTAATCCAATAAATAAATTATAATAAACAAATGAGTATAAATACCTTATTCATCCATTTTTTCTTAATGTACTAAACAAAACAGAAGATCTCACCTGAAGGTACTTATTTTATTCTTGTCTTCTTGTGGTGAAAAACGTGAGAATTTACCTTGAAAGGCATCTCTCATTCCTTTAACAATATAATTTTTTCCTCATTAAACACAATTTTCATTTTTCTATTGCAAGTATTGTCGATTTCAGACAACTTTTTACAAAAAAAAATAGAATAACAAAAGCCATGTAAAAAACAAATAAAAGAGATATGCTTCGCGTGATATACCTAATAGTGATAGTGGTGATAGAATAATAGGAGAAAAGAAATCTCAATAAGGTCATTTCTATAATAACATAACATATATTTGAGGCATGCTAAATTCGAGTCTTAATAATATGTGCACGCGAAAATAGTTTTAAGGTAAATAAATTAAATAGATATCCACTCCCATACAAAAATATATTTAAGAAAATTAACTCATATAATAAAAACTATATAAAAATAAACTAAAAAAATTAAATAATATAATATTAATATTTGATTCCAAATCTTTCAATTTTTTTATTTTTTATGAAAGTAATATCCTTATCTATACAAACCCAATCCAAGGTTGAAATATTTGAGAATGATTAACTTTGAATTTCCTATCCCTCATCAGTAGGTTTAATGATTCTTTAGAACAAAAGTTATAAAAATTGGACCTGAAAAAAGTGAATCATTGAGCTTTAATAAATTAGGATCTACACTGACAAAAAATAATAAATTTAT